CTGTTGTTACAAGCCTGGAATGGTTCCCCTTTCTGTTTTTCTCTATGGTCAGTAGAAATAATCATCATAAACTGCTTCGTGAGCTTCATGGCGGCGAGGAATGACGGCTCACTCACTTACTAGCTGCGAGGAACTGGTTACTTAAACTTGCCATATGGAAAATCGAGTCTGAGGGCACTTAACCTGCTGTGGGGATTTAAAAGCTGCTCGGTAAAGGTCACATAAAGCATCGTAAAGGCTGTGGAATCCCGATTACCCAACCTGCCCGAGGAGAAAGCTGCTAGAACAAAAACACAAACTGGAAACAATTACAGGGTGCAGAAGACAGCATTTTGGGAGGATTTTATAGATTTATAAGTAGCATTAGTTGTACTTACAACTTTTCTTAATTTTACTCAAGTGCTATCAGTTGTATTTGGTTTTATTAATCGGAACATACTGAACTTCAGAATGAAGCTATTTTATTTGCAGTCAAGCCCTTTATGCTAGTTCCAGTGCTTGGCCAGTGAATTCCTGTACTTTTCAGGGATTTTTTTTTTAATAATTTAAGCTAAATACCTCATCTGACTTGGGTCTTTTGCTTGGAAAGATTTGAATTAATATTTTTTTCAGCTGTTTTTACTGTCAGTGCCATGCGAACATCAGAGTATATTGTAAATATGTCGAAGTTATAAATAGATATAATTTTCTGTGTCATTAATGAGAATACATTGATGAAAATGTCAAAGCTATATAATTATCTATGCATCCCTTGCTAAAGGGTACACAGAGAAAGACTATTTGTAAACTGTAATTTCAGCCTTTTCTAGTGAAATTTGCATTTCAGGTTTTCTCTACTTTTGCCTCCTTTCGCTATTCAAACACCAAGTGCTTTATGATGTCCTTCAAGAAAAGGCACCCTCATAACTCGTGAGAACAGGTCTATAGAAAGGGCAGTATATGTACTGCTTACACACTTGGCTTTCTTTTTTCTTTCACTACCCCAAATACTCGTTTTTGCCCAAGCAAGCACATAGCTCTAAATGCTAACAAAACGATCTACATTTTCCCCCTGTGTTGAAAGCAGTGAAAATGTTTCCTTAAAGATTTGCTCAGAACAAAATCAATGCACTTCAAAGTGAATGGGTGAGCATCAGAGGGGAGCCGGATACCCCGGTGTGGATGGTAGTTGATGTTACTAATGTTTTGTGGTAGTTTCTAGAGCTTTTAATGCAGCCTGGAAATGCTTATCTATAATGATATGATACTATTTTTTATGGTATATACTATTTTTTATGGTATATGCTTTTTATGGCAAAGCTCACTAGAGAAAAACATTAGTGTGCTATCAAATTGTATCAATCATTTGAAAATGAAGTAAAGTCTGATTTAAAGCTAGCGCGCTGGATTAATCAGCTGCTCCCAAGCAGCATTCGTTGACCCTGTTCATTCAGGGCCTGTAATTAAGAACAACAGCAGTGCCTTCAAATTTGGCACCTGAATCACAAGGTTAAAGCAGTAAATTCTAGGTCTGCTTTGGGCCAGGCTAAGAGGAGGTGTCTCTTTTCTCATCGATGAGCAGGGGTGCTCGMCTACTAGCAGAGAAGCCAAAATAASCCGAGGGTTTTGGAGGATTTTCCTAGGTTTTAAGATGTTAAGGAGAGATAACCCTGTCCTTGCAGATTAACAGATAYAAATTATTTTAATTTAACAATGCTTTAGATCACCATTTTTTAATACTTGGCTTACTGTAGAAGACATAAATTCGACTAGTTTCTGGTCRAGGACTGTAGAAGTTGGCAAGGTTTGAAGTTGAAATAGGAAGAAGTCCCACTTTGGGGGAAAACGGTGCTTCTTGCAGTCAAAAATTAGGGTTTAGGCCCTAATTCAGCCCCAAGTCCTGCATTTGGCAGTGCTGCCTGTTGCTGTCCTTCTGATGCAGATGCACAACTGGGAGTCAAGGGACCTCAAGACACTGTAAGAACATATCTGGATGGGTGATAATGGATGATTCTGTAACAATTTTGAGCCAATAATGCTAATTCAAATAAAAATGTAGCATCTTTTTTTCAGCACTTACAATTCAGCTATTACTGCAGATACTGTTTTATTTTATTAAAGGTCATAATGGACCATTAGAGCATTTAGGCTGTTCTTCAGTAACTATGGGCCATTAAGCCCATAACTAAATATGAAGGTCAAAGAATTGTAATTACAATAAACCATTTTATTCTGTAGGTTTTCCAAACTGTATGCCACAGATACCGAATAGGAGTATCTCATCTGGCCTCTATATCTAAAAACATATTATTAATGCCTGCTGAAGGCTTTCTGGGATCAGATGTCTTGGATAGGAACTAAAGATCGATAAACCTAAATTTCATATGAATTTTGTTAGTCTTTTCTCCATATGCCACACAGTTATTTCATACATGAGTTACCTCCTGTGCGGTGGGTATTTGTGGTGAGATTTACATATATTGGCTATCCAGCTCCCTATCAGTTTTGAAGTGTGTGTGAAGAACTAACTTGGTGCTCTTAGAAATGTTTAGCAATAATGGTGTAAATTGCAGCTTTGGTGTCTCCAGCTTGTTTTCAGAGCGATGCGACGTGTCAAATGCATCAGATACACGAGGAGCTGCATTCAGAGCCTGCCTTTGGAAAGAGCAGGATCCTGCCTGCTAACAAAACTGCCTCTTGGTTTGGGCTTTGCACCGTCACGCGGGGAGCAGTTCACGCTGCTCCTCTTCCTCGTGCTGCATTTAGCCCATAGGTTGGGGCTTTGTTTTCCAAACCTCATTCCTGCAGTATAGGCAGGATATTGGATTGGTAACAGGGAACTTGCCATCAGCTTTGCCTGTGCTTCCCTGGGATAATTCTCCATCCGCCGTGTGCTTCTTTCCTCAGCAATTCTTGCTTTTGTCTGTTCATCTGGATGCCAGCTAGAAATTAAAATAAGCAGACTGCACTSTAAATGGGTTCCTGAATGCTGTTGTAAAGCGTGGCAGGTGTAACAAACAAGCTCCATAAAAGTAGTTCCCACTTTGTTTCAATAAACGGAAAGGTTTTTTGTGTCCTTGGTTAGGTAGTAGTTGTCCTAGCTTTATTTCTTGTTTGTTCTATTGTGCTCTRCACGTGAATGCAGCTTTTAGCATATATATCTTTAGTGTTCTTCAAAATCAAAATGCTTAAATCGACATTTTTTGCTATTAAGGTGAAGAGATGAGTTTGTCAAAACCCACCATATATGCTTCCAATATGTGCCATTTTTAATTGCTTTACCAATTAGGATTTCTCAAACCTAGCTAATAAATTTCTGCCTAACTGTGCACTTAGGCAGAATACGAGCAAAATGTAGGCACCATTCAGATGTGAAGCCCTATTACAAGATGGAAATAGATTTCTAATGCATTTATCATTCATCTTTGCAGAGTGTGATTTCAATCAGAAAAAAAAATGATGAATGGTTTGACAGTTTCCACCCCTGTACGCTAAAACATAATATGCTTCTGCTGGTTTCCAGCTATTACAGACTTTAACATGCAATGTGACCTTGGTCTGCAAAGCATGTTTGGTTAGCACAAAAACTTAATCATAAGAAGTCATAAGTAGAATCCTTCTTCTTTACTGCCCTTTTTCTGGGACTTGGGAATTTATTGCTTGTGGGACAGGTAGGATATGAACAATGGGCCAAATAGAGTCCAGGGTTATCTCATCTGTGTGAAAACTGCTGCTGGAAATCGATGTGACCTCTGCTGCACTGTCATCCCAGTTCCCACCCTCTGTGTCCTATTTGTCTTTTGGTAGGAGCTTAGATCTGTGTGCTGTCTCTATGTGTCTCTCTTGGGCCAGATTATCAAAATGAATCATTGCCTGCATACCTCTTATATTTCTATTTATTTTCCTGGTGTTGACTAGGTCTGATGAAATATGATTCTTTTTGCATTTGATCCTCACTGCAGCAAGCAGCACCTAATTTAGCTGTGTCTATCTCTTTAAAGAAGAGTAATACTATTTTGAAACTTCAATCTACTGTACAGTAACATTACAAACCATAGACCATGCAGCCTGTCTCCACAGTCAATAGTAATTTTCCTTTCAGCCAATTTAATGTTATTACTTTCCTCTCCAAATAGTAGAGATTTCTATAAATTTCCAAGCAGCTATAGTTTTCTGTTAYGCATACTCTAAGTAGCACTTTCTTGTTCAGTGCCACTTCTGGTTAGTCTTTTGCGACTAATCAGGTAGATATTAGATACTGGTTGTGCGTGCAAAAACTAATGAAGTTTAAAAAACGTGACRCTGGTATAAAATATTTAGATATGAGAAACAATATATCTGAATCTGCAAGAACTCCATTTTCTGAGACTATTACCAGCGTTTTCTAAAATGAGATCATTTAAATTACATAAACACAACTCTAAAATGACAGATACATAGATGTGAAGAGATTATTTTGTTATTGCATTGYTATTAATGCTGAAGAGACATTTTGAGGACGTTCCATTTAATGTGCTCGCTCACGGTGACAAAAATAAATACTTCTCAAACACAGATTTCAGTGARTACTTGAAAACTGCTACTTCTGCCGAGTTTGAGAAGCAGCAAGAAGAGCTTCCTGCTGAAAAGATGCTAGAATTGGCTAAACTGGGTAATGTTGCTGCTGGAAGTGGTTCCCTCAGCCGTCTCTGGATTCTGTCTGTATTTTGTGGCGTGCTGGGGGAAGGTGGATTTCCGAGCACCTAATTGCAAATCCCGGCATGAGAGTGACCAGGGCGCTTGACCGATGTAACTCAGGACTGGGTCTGCGATTGCCCTTTGAAGCCCCTGCCACAAACTACAGGCAAGCTTTAGTGAAAAGCAGTTGCTGTGAAGATAACGCCGTGGTTTCTGCAAGTGACAAAAAAATATATATATATATTTTATATAAACCTGTATTTWGACTTCCAGCTAAAGAGAATACGACTTCCTAGAAATCACACTTGCGCTTTCTGATGTTGCATTTAAACCTGTCTTTACAGAAGAGGTCCAAATTGCCATTCCGATAATGAAGCCAACCTTAGATAAAGTCCAACTGGCTGGACAGGCCTTGCCGCCCGGATTTCCAGCACCGTTTCTTTTTGCCGATGGTCTTTCATCAGTAGAAACGCTATTAACCAACATTCAGGTAAATTATTCTCCATAAAACCAGACTATGTCGTGACCGATAAAATATATATTTTTTTCATCTCTCTAAAAAGTTTCAGAAACTATTTTGTACCTGCARTTCTATTATTTATTTAAAGTAATGCTTTGACTACCTGGCCTTATTGATATTAAAAGGATTTTATGCGGTGTCTATTTGACTTAATAGTTGGCATTAATGGTCGTATTAAAATTCACCAGTCTCATTATTCCTCCTTTGCTTCTCCCTGCAGTTGACCGAGGTCAGAAATAATTTGGCACTCCATTTGTAATAAACCACCTCAGTAGGATGAGTTTGCAAAAGATATTTTAAGTGATTCCACGCAACAAAATTGCTCATAAATTATAAGATACAACATTCAGCTACGTCAGATGCTCATTTGGACTTTAGAGGCTTCTGCTTTTACTTCTTCTCCTTTCTTAGAGGAAGTAAAAGAAACAAATGGATGAGTTTTCTCACTGCTAAACAAAATGTTATTTTCAGGTCTTATATTTGCGTGTGTTTTAGGGCCTTCTGAAGGTGGCTGTGGACAATGCCAGAGTCCAGGAAAAGCAGATACAGCAGGAAAAGAAAGAGTTAAAGATGGAGCTTTGTAGAGAGAGAGAACTAAGAGAGAGCTTGGAAAGGCAACTTACAGCTGAGCTGCAAAGCAGAGGTGAGTGAATGAAAAATGGAGTTTAGATATCTATTAAATGTATAACCCCTTGGCATTTCCAGCTGGAGCTTTTGAGGACTCGGAGTTAACTGACATTCATACTTCAGGGTAATGCAGCAGTGGGCTAGCCCTGGTAATGAAAGATTTAAATTTAATAAAAGCAGAATGAAGCACTCTTTTCYGTGAGCAGACGGAGCAGTGCCTGAAGGATTATTTCCTGGAGGGCAACTGGCCACAGGATTTTGGCCGATTCTTTGGAGGAAAGCTGATTCAGTTGCCTGGCTTTCACACATATTATTGCCATTCTGCCTGTGTATTCCCAGCCTGATTTCTTCATTTGACACCTTTAATTTCTTTTGTTTCCTGCTATTATCCTCCAAGCACTGAGGATCCAGCTTATTTTGAGTACGATAATACATCTGCAAATTGTGTGTGTAGAGAACTTTCCCTCCCATCAGCTTACAACTTATCCAGCCCACATTTTCAGAAAAATTGTGATTTTTGCAGTTTAGATGCTGGTCAGCTGGTTTTTCACTAGCTAATATCACTAAAATAAAACAGATCAACTACTGAAAGTGGCCTGTGCAGGATCTGATGAAAATAACTCTGGTTAACTTGGTTTTGTTCATGAGAGTAAGTTACAAAAACACTCCTAACATGGGGCCCCTTAAGACAACACCATGACTCTTTAGAAGCTTTTGATAATAATAGGCAATTAAATGCATAAATCTCATTTTTTCGCTGTGGTACAGAAGGTAGCATTCTTTTTAAATTCAAATCTCCATATAAAGGAGAGGAATAAAAGTTTGTGTGCTGAAAGCTACTTCTAGATTTCATCCATGAAATCGGAAAGATAGAACTAGATAAGACCAAAAATSTAAGTGCCAAGTACTGTCTGCCTACGCATTTTGAATGAGATGAGGTGTGTGCAACAGTCCACAGCTCCAGGGCTCAGAAAGGAGGCTGAAAAAGGAGGACACTTCTAAGTCAAGATGTCAATAAATACTGTGGAAGTTGTACAGTTGCAGTGGATGTTCAGAATCGTTGCATCACCTCGGGTTAGGTACCTATGAGTCTGCTATCATTCTGTAAAAAAACACTTATTTCTTTGTAGGCAGACAGTACGATTCCGATTCACATTTAAGTCAAGAGCAACTTTACTTCATTCAGAGGCCTTGCTGGCTTCTGCCTCAAAGGAGAGTCTCACCAGTAAACAATAGCTTTAGACTTGTCTTTCAGTTCATTGCACATCATTTTTATTATTATGAAGCTGGAGTATCTTAGAGTAACCCATGTAACAAGGGTTGCTCTTTGGCTCAGCTTTCCAAAGTTACCTTCTCCAGATCACATTGTGGCATTCATGATCTATCCAGTTTCCCTGGGCCTTGTCCCAGCCACCCTTCATCATGGAAACTGGACAYGAACTGGCCTACTCCAGATCTCCTGGCATGAGAGCAGAGTCCCAGGGTTGACCATTTCCCAGGTGCCGAGCATGCGCACCAGAAAGGTGTTGATGGCTCTGTAGAGATCCTACCAAACAGTTTCAACCAGCTAAGGTAGCTGCAGGTCCTACAAACAAGCGACAAGAGAGTCTATTAAAGATAGTTTATTAGGGATAATTAGGAGGCTCTGCTGGGCCAGCAGGAGCCTAGGAAGTTCCAGGAGTGGTGCAGTGCTCACAGACCTACCCATGCTACTACCAGTGCACCTGGTCATCTTTCCAGATAAAACTGCTGGTGGGTGGAGTATTATTTTCAGCATWAGGAGAAAGATTAGAAAGAAGAGTATGAGTTTTATTTTCGTTTCTGAAGTCTTAGGCTGGTATCGTTGCTAAAACAGAGTTTAAACCAGTGATCCACTCTTGAAACTCTGGAMAACTGTGAACTGAAGGTAGCCCAAATCCATGAAGTCTATGTAATGCAGACCAGTGGCTGGATTCTAATACGTATGCTTTCAGATTCTGATCAATAGAATTAAATCAATGGGGCTGTTCCAGATTGCGAACATGATTTAAGAACTTTAAAGTTACAAGATCTGAAGCCCTTTCAGATTGTTCATTCTTTCATGTGATGATAYGGGTTGAGTGTTTTTATATTAGACCCATGTCAGAGGTTTTTTTGTCCTGAGCTAGAACTGGGCTTTTAAACMTTGCACATATAAACTCGTTTACCATCTCCATTATATATTACCTGTGCTTTAACAGCCACTCTTACAATACATTTACATTTCAGCAACAATTCAGAAACGCTTGAAGAAAGAAAAAAAGGCGAAGAGAAAATTGCAGGAAGCTTTGGAATTTGAGTCAAAGAGAAGAGAACAAGTGGAACAGGCGCTTAAACAGGCCACATCAGGTGACGGTCTCAGGATGTTAAATGGTAATGTTCTAGTTGGCCTTTCACAGTTAACTTAAAACGATGTTTAATTAAGTGAAAAATATAAGATGATGCACAAAGCAAGTTCCATTATAAAAACGCAGTCCTTTCCTGAAATAATTAAAAATCTATTTCAGGACGTGTGCTCTGGGTCATGAATTAAACAAAAAATAAATAAGTCTCTAAGTAGAGAAACAGCAGTTTATGTAGGCATCATGAGAAATACTGAATATATTACCAGAGAAATCTGTCACAGTGCTAGCTAAGACAATGTGAAATTTGGTTCTTATGAGGTTCTCTGAACTCTCCTCTCCCAGCAGATTCATGCTGGGAGCAGCTGAGCTTCCTTTTAGAAGCTGTTTGTCTGAAAGCCATTTGTTTGTTCAGCCTCAGGATCTGTCAAGTTGGTTAAATATGTATCTAGCTGACTAGATTTCAAATATTTCCCAAATATCCTTGTGAGATAAAACAAAATCAGTTAATTTCAAAAATCGGGTGGTTATGTTTTGGGTAGTGAGAGGATTCATCTCCCCTGCTTAAGTTGTTTCTGACTAAAGTTGAGCACTGCAATATGAATCTTTTAGTCATGAATACAGGGAAGTTTGAGGCAGTTTGAGGTGTTCCAGCTAAGGTTCACTCCTGAGGTCTCTGCAGCCTCRTCCAGCAGTGTCTCATCAGCCAGGTTTACAAACGCTGCAGTCTCTGCTGCGCTCGTAGGTCGTGAAGTCTTTAAGTCACTTCTTCCTCCCTAGTTTGGCCACTCCTAGCAACTGAGCTATAACACAAGCAGACTGCAAAAAATCCTTGAGCTGCTCAGTAAAAATAATAAATAATAAAATAATAAAAATAAAAACTTGGATRTGTCCAGAGTTCTTAGCTGTGAGGGCTGACCAGGGCTGTTCCTTAAAGTCAGGGCAAGCCTCCGACATGARCTGCCATTGCTGCACTTTGCAGTGGACTCTCTGAGTCGTGATTTATCGGGAGTGCCTAAGAGATACCAGCTCTTTAGCTGCTAGAGCAACATCCTACAGAGGCATTCTCMTCTGCTGGGTTTTATAGGCCAGCATATCACTGTAAGCAGAAGCGGGCTGGCTCCTGTTGATGTCCTGACAGGGAGCTGGAGTGGTGTGGGAATGAATATAGAGCTTTCAGCTGTGCCATGACCCAGCAGCAAGGAGGGGGCCAGAGCCAGCAGGAACCTTTTTGGATTGGGAAAATGCCCAAATTAGACCCCACCCGCATCCAGACATGACTGTTAGAAAGAAATAAAACCCAAATTTCTGTAAGATTGTTCACTGAAGTTCTGCAGCTGACGGGAAGCACTTGCACCTCACTCCAGTGAGGAGTGCTCAGCAGTTCTGGAAGTCACAAATTAAAGGGTACCGACATGCCAGCGGTGTGATTAAGAGATCTTTACAGCTGCTGTTGTGGGCCTGGCTGCTCTTATTTTGATTTGCAAGCACACTCAGGTAGTCATATATATGTTAGTGCCTGCAAGAAGCTGATATTTACATGCTAATCTGATTGCACATGCAAATCAGGTAGCTCATTAGCATCTTAATCCACAATTTAATTGCAGGTACAATTTTATGACAACAAAATGTGAAGGGCTATTCTGAATATTTTTAATTTAACTCTGACGGTCTGTCTCATTTAACAGATGCCGTTATTAGTTACAGATGACTCTGTCATTTTACGTTTATACAACACGTACTTTAAAAGGTTTGAAAAGAAATAACCTTTTTAGAGGAACAGTTCAATGCCCTGAATTTCCCTTCAAACAGAAATCTGAAAATGGCAAACCTCATGTACTAGCAGTCACCTCTAATTTTATAAGAAACAATTACWTCCACCAAGATACTATTTATTTGCTCGTATATCTTTATAAGTCTCTCTTTATATTTCACATACATTTCACATATGCATGTAATACTACGATAGTACTAATTTATTCCATGCATGGGATGCATTTTAGTCTGCCCTGTCTATGCATAGAGCTCGGTGGACATTGTAGCATGGCCAGCGTGTAGGTACTAAAGCCTCCAGAGAGAGTGACTAGAGCACTGCAGTTATTTCCTATTGAAAATGTCCAGAACAGGCCTCAACAGAAGAACTTTTAGCCTGTATACACAGCTCCCTCCATTTTTTTTTTTCTCCTCCCACTTTAATTTCCAAGTGCTGTATTATAAGGGAAGCAGATGTTTCTGCAGGATTCTAGGTGCCATGGATTCAAATCACATACCCTTCATGCTAATCCTTGCTGGCACGGGGTGGATCGTGGCATCTGTTATAACACCCTGGGGTGTTGGAGGCCCCCCTCCCGCAAGGACTGTGCATACAAAGGTATTATCAATATGAAATTAAATAGTTCAAAAGTGCATATCATTAGGAGGCTCGTTCTCAACTTGGAGAAAAAGCATAATCCCTTTTCGAAAGCTCTTGAAATCTGGAAACGTTTCACATGCTGTCACATACGTAATTTTGTGTCCAGTGATAAAGCACTCACAACATCATCAGCTCAATCTTTTAAATGAAATATCATTCCTRTTTATTTTATGTTTATTTATATACACAATACACAAACATGTAGAATATTTAAGAATTGGGAAGGAAAAGCCAGAGGCTTTTGTGGCTCTATGATATACATTACTCCCCAGAATATTTGAAAGAAAATAATGTATAATATAACCTAAGAAACTGACAATAATATCATAGCTTTAATTCATGCCATGAGCGTATATCAGTGGGCATTGGTGGTATTTTTTTACTTTTTTACTTTGAAGCTTTGAAAAGAGACTTATATTGACATAATTGTTGATTATTTTCTGTTCATCRGATGAATTTAAAAGATGTTAAAAATAACTCAGTGGAAGAGTGAGCTTCCAGTGTTGCCAATGTTTTCAAAATGATTTATGGCTGAAAACTCTATGAAGCCCAAATGTTTTATGCAAGACCACATAACTTGGAGATCACCCCACTTTGCTGTAAACATTTTTCTAAAGATGCATCGAAGAAGGACAAAGGGAAATGCATTAATCTTAGGTGTCACATTTTTCAGATGCTGGAATCCCAGATATGGAAATAGAACACAACGGAACCCAACATGACAGTGCAGCAATGCAAGGTGCAGTATATACCTCACCCCAGCACGTGTTTGTCTTAAGTGATATTAAAAGTTAAATGAAATTCAGCATGTCTTTTTCTCTCTGTTGTCCTACTTAAAGGCAAATAAATTGCAGAATGTTCCATTAATTTTGTTTTCTTGTTCCACACAGAAGTCATTGGTAAGATCAATATTTTACAAGATCGGGAATGAAATTCGTTAAATTAGAGGGGTGAGACTGGTATGTTTTCAAAAAATAYATAATTCATAGAAGTGGGAAATCATAACTAGGAAGGCAAATACAGCAACACTCAAGTCCAGACTGCTTAAAAGAAATATTGGTTACACATTTAAATACATATGCATGTGCTAAAGAGAATTAAAGGAACCCTGCTGTATGTATTCTCCTGTGAGCACCCGCCTTTGTATTCCGAGGGCAGCCCACGCCACGGACTGTGAGTGCAAAGCAGTGATAATGTTGAGTGCAAACAGTGATAACGTTCCTGTGACGAGCAATTATGTAATACTCCATTCTCCTCATTGTTCCCTGTAAATGCAGAACATTCATATTTTGCYTGAGTGCTGCCAAATAGTCATCAATGCTGTCTACCTGGAGGCCTGTGAAGTAAGGAAGTTGTGTGGTCATTTTATAGGGGAACACCTGAGATAAGAGAGGGCTCCACATCAGATATTTCCTTTGAAAATGGGAAAGCTGTTGGAGGACACCCAGAAGTGGGYTCTTCTGTGGACAGTAGGGTTTTCCCCAGTTTCGTGTGTTTAAAACACATTGCTGGGTTTTGACTTCATTGACACGTGTGGTGCTCGGTTCCCCCATAGATCAGATTGCAAGGTCTCATATCTTGGCATGTGTCATGTTATGGACACTTGCCTCCAGAGGTTAAGAAACAGAAAATAGTCACCTGTGAAAATGTTTCTTCTGAACAGCTAGAAAAATGTAGTGGTGAAACTTTTATTTGGAGAAGATGTAGTTTTATAGCACTGTTTTTTACAAACCCAACCTTTTCTCTCTCCAGTCCTGCWCCATATTCCCTACAGAACATTAAGCTTGTGCACTAGTTTATAAAGCAGCCCAGAGAAGCTGCAAGTTTCAGGCTAATTCTCTTCCTAGAGCCTTCCAGCCTTTGTACTGAACTGTGTAATTGTTATGGGCAAAAAATAACGTGTGTTTAGGTAACTACAGATTGTCCTCTTCTGGGTAGGCAAAAAAGGACTGCAGTAAGATAATGCACCAAAAAATACAAAATACAAGGAAAACAGCAAACTGTTAGTGTTGGCTCAAATCTGTCTCCTTTCAAAATGATTATATTAACTTACTAGAAAGAATTGGAGAACTTYCCTACACTTGCTGTAGTCTCCGGATACGCTCTTGCTGCTCTCCAGTGGCAAACGGTCTGGTCTTCAGCACAGTCATGAATATGTGCACAGACCTCTCCGCCAATTTAAATATCCTAATCCTGCTCATATCTGAGAGCGTGGTGAGCTCAGGCGGTTCTTTCACAAAGCACTCTCGGCTGATAAGTGTTCTGAAAAACTCTGTTAAGCTTGTTCAGATTTCAAAGCATTTCTGTCCTGTAGCACCATCTACTCCATTTTTTTTCCCCCTTTATGCTGATACTATAATATCTTTGTATTCTATTTGCCTTTGATTGCGGTTTTTAAAACTTGACAGCTACTGCTGCCCTTTAGTCTTCAGCAATTTGAACACACTGCCTTCATTGCCCACTTCATTTGCTGGCTTTGTTTTTTGGGCGCTGGGAGGAGTGAGGGTCAAAACATGCAACCCCAACACAAAGCTGTTTTCAGGCTTTCAAAATATCTCTGTAGTGCACAGAAAAAAGCTTTAGCATCAATGCAGACCTTTCTTTTTCTGTTGTCAATAGCTCTGCTGGACAGAAATCTATCATTCACGCAGCGCCTTTGCTTTGAAATTCAATTAGTTCCACTGCCAGTATCTCCTTAAAACGGTTTAAAGGAGAATTACAAAAATACTGCACAACCACCTTTTATAGTGATTAAGTCATATCATATTTTATGCTCATTTCTTAAAATGGTTATATTAACACAAGCTGTTCGTGCACCGTGGTTCTGATATGCATTATAAATCACTTCCGTTAAGCTGATGCCTTTTCTCTATGCTTTGTATAGCGATTGAATTGGAATTTTCTGCATGCAGTCTGCTCATCCTAGTCTGCTCATCCAGCATGGCTTAATCCAAGAGAAGCTTTCCAGCTGACAAAATAAAGGAGTAGTAGTTGCTGTGGTCGTGGAGCCCCTGCCCCACTGAGAACCTGCCTGTTCCCGTTTCCATAACTCACTCGTGGGCCAGCAAGCCAGTGCATCAACCATTTTATCAACTAATCTCCGTTTCACATAAAATAAACATACTGGGTGTCATTAAGTGCACCTTCAGATCAATGATTTTTGCAAATGACATTCAAGTACYGTTCGAGTAGTGCATTTGTGCTGATAAAAGCAAATTAAATTAGCACAACTACAAGTGTGCTGATAAAAACTAAAACTGAACAGCAGCACCATTAGCTAACAAAGTAATATTTTCTCTTTACTGCTTTCTGCCATTTAGTTATTATCCTATTGGAAATCTAATTATAATCCTTTTACTCCCTAGTCAAACTTCACAGTTTTTGCAAGCTTAGCACTGACAAGTGATTTCATTACATTTGATTGCCCGCGCCCAGATTGACTTAACTTCACTCCGAGACCTAAAAGCCCTCTCAGTTTCTCAGATTCCCTGTTTGCACATTACAGCAACAGCTCCTTTAATTAATTAGCATGAACAGCAGTAACATGAACTGCTGAACAGAAAATAACATCATTTTATGATCGCACGGAGACTTCTCCTTTTGCATGTTTATACCTTAGTTAACTTTTGTATTACTATATTTCATTGTTAGGGGATATTGGAACAATGAGCCAAGCAATGTTATCTTAAAATTGTAAAAAGTACAAGTTACCATGATAACAACTTTTAAAAAAATAAAAAGACTCCAAATCTAAGGAAAGAGGCATCAGCACGGGAGGATAGACTGTTTTCCAGGTGAAAATATGGTCCAAAGGAAACGTGGTTCCCTGTACGTGCACGGGGAAGGATGCAGGTTTGTGGAATAACCTGGCAGGTAGTGAAAAACCCTGGCAGAGATTCAGCACAAGGCTGTCAGTAACTCCCCATAACTTTTTTTTTCTTTATGTGTTTGCCAAAGGTAAAGAACTGCTTAAGTTTAGAACATACCTTGTTTTCTGTTATGTGGTCTTAACATTTTTAGACTCATGCCCCCCCATACTATATTTTTTCAATATTCTAATAAAACCAGTCAGTTCGAAAAACCCAAACCATAGTAAAAAAGGTGCAAAGGAGACAGAAATGGAAGGTAGTTTAACCTCTTTGTCATTTTATCAAATTACACTCCAAATGCTTCCTATTCCACGGGAACCGACTGCTCTGAGGAATTTCAGCAGACGCTGCAGCGKCAGGAGACGACTCAGCATCCTGGACATTGCAGCACTGTTCACTGCAGTTGCCCTCGCTGCAACAAATATTCAACCCATTAAAATAAGAACAGGACCCTGTGGTTAGGGAGTGCGAGGGTGATGATGAGCCCCTTCCTCTTCAATTTCAGCAAAGGCTGGCTGCTTTCCTTGTGAACAGATCCTCAGCTATCCCCATAACTTGAAACTTAAGTCTTGTTGGTTCTGCCCAGGCCGTGTTTTGTGGCTGTTGCATGGGCTCCTTTGGTTGGTACCCAGTGCTAGAGCTCCAGTAGTTGGGTACCGTGTCATTTGGCAGCGCCCCTGCCAAATAAGCCCCCTTTAAAAATAACAATTATTTAGTCTGATTGTACTTTTTTKCTGAATATTTTTAGACTTTATAGAGACACACACACATAGACATGCATATGGGGGAAGAAGCTGAGATTTTGTGATTTCCTGGTGACAAATGATGGGGAAAGGCTTTCCCGGGAGACGCCTGGGTGAAAAGCTCCATACCTTTCTATTCTCACAAAGGCTCACSCATTTACTCAATAATTCAGTGTCCGTAGGCTTGGATATTTCTTCAGCAGGAACCTCTGTGTTATCTCCCTGTTTACTCAAACTGACAATTGCAACCAGCAGCTGCATAGTTTGCATTCAGTGAACACAGTATTGTCCTTGACTATCGGTTCTCATTAGAATCCTATTTTAAGTACAAGTTACCAGTTTGGATGCCGTAAGGATGGGGAGATACTTGACAGGGTGGATTCAACAGTCTTAAGCGCAAAAATAAGTAGGGGAAAAAGAAGCGAGTGACACACACACAGGAGGACGTGGCAGTGAAATGGAAKGTACCCCAGGTCCTGCCCATTTTGTAGAAAAAAGCAGCTGCAAAGAGAAGGCATCTGATGATGTTGCCCCAAGGAAGAGGTTAATAAGCTCAGGCAGTTGTAGCCATCAGAGACTGCACATCTGCAGGGTGTGAAAGAGGCAGTAGGAAGGAGCACAAGGGATGGAAAGGAAGAAACCCAAACTTCATGAGTACCACAGCTCTCAGAAGCTCTTGGTTACATCTTCATGTTAGTCCAGAGGAAAACATACATTACTCRCAGTGTATTTCTTTTTTCCCTTTCGCTATTTAGTTTGGAAATATCTGAAAAATAGCCTGAAAAATAAAGAAAAAAAAAAAAAGGATTAAAACAGAATGATTGTTTTTGGATTTGTCTTTTTTATGCAGACCTTAAACCCTTCAAAAGAAAATGATGAATGATGGTATGGTTAAAAGAGAACGCCAGAGATATATATTCCGAACTAACAAGTCAGGGAAGAAAACCTTATCCCAAGGGAAAATTACCATTATTAACATAGGTTTTGGCTCACAGAGAAATTGTGAGTTCTTTACTCATGTTATACATTGTGAAGGGGAAAAAATCCTTTCTAAATGTCTTGCTTATTAAGCCAGTCATGCATCTCACTGTAGGTTGTAAAGCAGTATAACATGCACAGGGGGCTCATAAGCATATTTTAGTGTTAGGGAATATCATTTATACAGTTTTTATATTGTCAATATTACCCCTAGAGAATGAGATTAGGCTTTAAGCTACTGTAAATCTACACTTTTGCTCACCTTTGTATAATTTCATTTTTTAATAGAATGAAGCCCACATAAATGAATATTTGATTAAGGGATAAACCTAATAAAAGAATACATTTATTGCACACAGATTTATTCAATTCTTTGCTATATAATACAGTAAAATGCTATAAAATGGTGTATAGTTTGCAGGCAGCCTCACTGAGAAGATAGTGAATATTCTTCAAAAAGATGAATTTGACAACATCATATTGTATTTTGTGTCCAGCTGGTATCAAAGGTACTTTTAACACTTTTTAGTTCCTCATAGGTGGCTGGTGTATGACATGGCTGATGCTAAATTAAGTTTATGGTACGGCAATAAAAATGTATTTTGATTTCTTGAGGTTTTTTAAGAGCTTTCAAAAAGAAAAAAAAGAAATATTTAAAGATGCCCTTTCTGTATATTGATCCATAGTGTCTCCTGGGTGGCTGCACTATCCTAGGACTATCACAAGTATTTGAGATACCTTCATTCAACATTCCTTGAGAAATAAAGGGAATATAAATAAAAAACACTGAGACCTGCTCCAAAGCTTAAATAGCCAGTTCACTCAGAACTGTCCCACAATGAGACTGCATCTTACTTCAATTTGAAGAATACTATTAAGAATAACGTAAAATACAATTTAAAATATCAATCATTACAAACTTAGGAAACATCTAACTTGGGTTTTCGCTGATCATTAAGCATCGTGTGTGTGGTCCCATATATTTGCTATCAGATATGTATCACTGAGGTCTTCAGCGGCCATGGTGACCTGCAAGCGATGAAGACTGCAGAGACAATAATTGTCCCTTGGCACCTTCATTTCCTTATATATATATATATATATATATATATATATATGTGTATATATATATATATATATATCACTGGCTGGTCTAACACCTTCTGCAGGGCTTTTAGCCTGGAAACAGTCCCAGTACTGAATTAGCAGAAGACTTTACAAAATGTGTTTGTAGGGAGGGACACAGAGCTGTTCCATCATATCTTGTACTAATCCCGTTGTAACTTATTACAAATAACTCTTATTTTGAATGGACAGGTGACTTTCTAATTTGTGGGTCCCTAATCTCTTATTTGCACATAGAATCTGTGTCACCCCGTGTGGTACTTTAAGCCTGTAGGGTTGYCCGTAAATGTGTGCTGTAATTTCAGTCTTGTTTTAAATGCAATGAGTCTGACCTGTAGATTCTCCCAGCAGCTGATTTTTTTTAATTTTATTTTTTAGAAGTCCAGCACTAACATACACTAGATCCTATACAACCTCTTTGTAAAGATCTCATGAAACTTCCTAATAGCCAGAAAGAAAGCTAAAAAATGAAAAAGGGCAATGTTCAGCAGTCCTTCTAACCCCATCCCTCGAGTTTAATATTTACCCCAGTAAATCTTAAGACAATAATTGTAATCAGCCAAAGGCTTGGAGCTAATTTTAGCCACTTCTTTCGAGGTTCCCATGCTCCCAAACATTCCTCTGGAGATGTTATGTCCCCGGCTCTTCCTGATCTTTATTCTTGTTTACATCCAAAATCCATAKTAAATCATCTCTGTTTGGAGAGCATGGGCCTCCTTAAACCCACGAAACATTCAATTACTAATTAGCCGTTTCCTGTTCCTAATGAAGTGAACATGTCGGATTTGGATTAAAATTCAGCTACTGCTCTCCTCTGTTTATGGTTCCAGATGTTTTTGTTTTATCTAGGAGGTTACTTTGACAGCTAGTGCTAAATGATAAATCACTCATATTATAGCTGAAATGCATTTTGAAATTGAAATGTGGCAAACTTGGAGATTGCTCCGAGGATCAGTGTCACTTGGCAGGTCAATACTTGTTCTTTCCTTATGAGAGCTCAGTATTGGCATATGTAAAACAGTAATGGGATATATGTCAACATTATACAAAATGCTTCTCAATATTATCATTTTTGCTATCATCTTCAAGATCAGTACTTGCGGGTTTAGCTTGGTGAATTCATGATTCATTGTGTAATGAACAAGAATATGGATTCTTGTTAGCTCTCATTTCTGTGGGTATTTTAATATTTATTTTTTTCTCTGGGCTTAAAGTTGCTTGATGTGAAAAATCACAGTTGATAGGTGCTAGATCTAAGAATATTTTTTTATGAAGGAAATAAGTGGCTTTCTACTTGTTTGCCTAAATAAAGAAAAATGAAATGCAAAGGAATGTGGAGGTTTCTGAATGAAAGCACTCTTTCCCAAACAACAGATATTGATTTATTTCTATTACATTTTTAATGCAATGTGATTTTATTTCAGCACACCGTTCTCTAGAAGGTTTTCTGCATGTGACACTGGTGTGTTGCAGAGCTGCAGTGCAGCTAATCCGTGTTACTGGGTCTATGGGCAAGACATCCCAGGCTGTTTTACAGAAAAAAAACACAAGAAAAAAAAGGAGTGTTTGATTAAAAACAAACTGCAAAATGTGTCTTAAAGGGAGGGACCTACAGAAAATCCCAATCCACATCTTCATGGCTTTGCAGCGCCTGTTTCATCAAGTGTCTCCTTCTTTTCACATAGAAAACGTATTCACATGACGGGTCATTTATATCACTTGTAGATATAATAATCTGGCTTGAGAAGAAAAAGTCCTGGAACAAAGGAGGAATCCTGCCTGCATTGGAATTAATTATAACACGTTTAAAATGCCATTGACCTTTATTCTTCTCTTTCTTTTCCCCCTCCAGAAAACAGAACATACATCAAGCCCACTATAATGTACTGAAGGAAACACCTATTGTTGAAAAATGTATAATGATCACTGTTTGAAGACTATATAGTTCATGAAAAACGTCCCTTCAAACCTTTGATGCCTTCAGTACTGTGTGAAGAACAGGATTTGTAGCATGAAACTTGAAGGACAATTTCAAGCAATTTACTGTTGCTGCATCGAAAACTGCCGTATTGTCATTAAGAAATATTGAGACTTTTTACCAGCTTACCATACCAAACCAAGCCCGTTGCCACAGATCATTTTTAGGTCCCAGGAGATAGCAAGGAGTTTTAGTATTTTTAAGCACATACAGGAATTATTCCCCTTCCCTCCTCCCCCCCAAAGAACTTCTTTTTTTTTCCCAAGGAGGTAGCTATTACTGTATAGCAATGGCACAATGATTTTAAGCCACAAAGGTCCTCACTGGCTGTACATCATACAAGTCCAGTTTATCACTGAAACTGTTCAACACGGAGCTGTTTCGATTGTGTTTATAAATTAAGCTTTGTTTACTGAAGCAGATACTCGATATATATTACGTTTTAAAAAGAAATGTGTGTACATTTTTTAAAAGAATGATGTAAAAATTGTCCTTTCATTAGATGACCAATTCAAAAGTGTGAGCTAAACCCTAATAGCTGACGTAATATGAGGATTATAATTGATGCTTTTTTATGCTCAGTTCAGCTTGGCTTTTGGTCTTTTAAGATGAAAAAAAAAATGAATATGCAGTAGAGTGTTAGATAATGGAAACTTTTAAGTATGGTTTCTCTGTTGTACCATATTAAGTTAAAGTACACATTCTTTGTTAAAAATGTTCTTGCTAAAAATACAGTATTAAAATTTTTTGTTTGACTTTGGAAATCTTTTAAGATTTTTTTTGACTGTGAATTCCCATAGTTACTGTACTAATACGAAACAGTATTTTGCACTATTAAAAATACTTGAAGAAATTACTTAATAAAGAGGGTGGGTTGGTGTTAAACATTTTTCTAATTCTTGCATGTCAAAAATTCTCAACATATTTTAAAAATAACCAAAACATTCCTCTTTAAAATAGGTGACTGAATTCTGGTTTGAATCAAGTGGAAATAGTAGTCATATATTCACTCTCTAATGCGATGGTCAAAGCACAAAGCTTATTTGCCTGTAGGTTCATGCTTACATGTGTGTCTTTATATTTATACACACATAAACACGCTGAATTAAATCAATACTATATATATATATGTATGTAATATTTATATATATATAGTTATATTTTATATATGTATATACTTTTGGAAATATATATATAAAAATACATATAAAATATATACACACACTCTTGGGAATGTATTTCCCACATATATATATTTGTACATACAAATATATTTGTATATATGCTATATATAGTATTTTATATACATAGTATTGCATACACTTGGGGAGAACCTTCAGGATTTCATTTATATTATTAACTAGATTTTTTTTTCAATAGGAGGTCGTGGTTAACTGACTTGTTAGCTAACTTTGAAGTATAGTTTYAAACCGTGCTATAGCTGATACAGTGGAACATTTTATCTCAACCAAGAATAGATTCAAGAAAACATGATGGCCTCTGTTTTAGAGGTGATCAAATTAATTATCAGCAGACTCCGTCTGGCCTTTCAATGTACAAATGTGTTTTATTCCCTGTTATTGTAGTCATTCCAAAAAAAAATGCAGCAATCACATTGCTTTATGACTAAACAATCAAAAATATTAAATGCTACAGAAAACAGATGCACTTCRAGTTGTGCTACTGCACTCTTCCTCAAAGCCTCAAGTATGATTAAAACACTGCAGCATCTGAACTTCAGTTTTATATTGGATTATTTATTAATTCTGGATTTGATTCTGCTTTATTCTCTGAGATGAGTAAATCTTAGTTCATTTTTTTTAAGATCTTGCAGTGTTCCTTAGTATTTCTAAGTGGCTGATTAATCCAATKCTGGCATTACTCGTAAGAGAAGATTTTGAAAAAAACTCTTCGATGAATTATAATATAGTTTAGAAAAAATAATGTAAATATATTAGTCTTTGAGATGTGAAATATTTTGCATTTTTTATTTCCTTACAAAGATAGTTTTAGAGGTTTTTTTTTTAATTAATGGCAGATCTACATTTCTTAACTCCGCACTGATACCGAGTTGATGAGCACGTCATTGATTTCTCATGTGCCGTACCCAGAATAGCTGTAAACGTCAAAGTACCAGCAGATGAGATGTGGGGAACTGATAAATTTCAGAGGCTGAATCTGTTGTTAAGTCCTTATTAGGTAGCTCCTGATAAATATTGGCAAACCAGGACACTGAGCTTTTTATGTGTCAACTCAACCTATTGAGCACACATCTTAMCGCACACTTCTGTTTGGGGGAAAAAAAACCCTATTACAGTGCAGAACAACTATTAAGTTTGGCCAATTGCAATTGATTAGGTCATATTAAAGTGCAGATTTCATTTATTTCTTTGTACTTCCTATCACTCCCTTACTAATATTACAAATGGTGAGCTTCTACGTAGAGATCTGTGTGGATCAACTTAGGGAGCTACATAGGCTGCCGTTCATTGACACAAGAGCTTGCCTGGTTGTTTCTGACTCATGGATCTGTGAAATAATGGAATTGTGGACAGCGTCTCTGCTTGAGAAGGAACGCATAACTGAGGGGTGATGTTTCATACCAGTTRAGGCAAATTATAGAAAACATCAGTGCGCCGCAAATTAGTCTTGTTTGCCCATAAAACAGGACAGGCGCTGTGTGAGAGAGGAAAGAATAGATGATTTCACCCATTCAGTCCTTTTTTTCCCAATAGCATCTGAGGTTGTGAACAGCATGAGCTGCAAGCCCAAGAAAGAGCACATGGGGGTGTCTGGTTGGGGTTGGGGCTGTAGCTACAGAGCTCCAGGGAGCAGTTTTTGCTTTATGAAGCTTCCTGAAGGAAAAGTTGGTTAGTCTCTGAGCATGACAAAGTGATTCCTCCTACATGACGGAGTGAGTTGTATGATGTTGAGCAAGGAAACGGGGAAAGGCTGAGGAGCATCAGGGAGTGTGAGAACACTCACTGGGGAACACCCCAAACCCACCTGAGGATTCCCRACCCTCTTGCTGTAGGTAGAGGGGGCAGAATTAAGAGATGAGCAAGAGAAGAAACAGGTTCCCTGTTTGGGGTGACAGGACCATCCCCTCCCAGGCACCTCATCTCCTCCAGGTGACCATGTGCAACAGGTGTGAGGCCCTGGAAGCMGACACCAGGCAAATGAGGCCACAGACCGAGTCCCTTTAGGGGGCTGTCCAGAGCAGGGCCGTCCACAAGGCCCTAAGGCTGTCCAGAGCCTTATGACTGCCTCTACTAAGAGGAAAAGAATCATAGAATAATAGSATCCTTAAGGTTGGAAGGGACCTTTAGAGATCATCTAGTCCAATCCTCCTGCATCCGCAGGGTCACCTAGAGCACGTGGCACAGGCTGTGTCCAAGCAGGTTTTCAAGACCTCCAGAGAAGGAAACTCCACAACTTCCCTGGGCAGGCTATGCCAGCGCTCTGGCATCCTCACTGACAAGAATTTTTTCCTTAAGTTCCTGGGGAACTTCTGGTGCTTCAGTTTGTGACCATTTCCTCTAGTTCTATCAGTGGTCACCACTGAAAAGAGGCCGCCCCCTCCTTCTCACTGCTTCCCTTGAGGTATCTATAGACACTGATCAGGTCCCCCCTCAGCCT